GTGCATTTGCCCATGTGTACATGGTACAGGGGTTGTGTCAAACGTGTTTAGAACTCTTCAAAAGTGCCATTATTGTGAACATTTTCAAAAAGTAAAAAAAAATTAAAAAATGCAATTACAATATTGCAATTTAGTTACTCAGTTAAATTTTGTTACAATGCAGTTTCTAATATTCTCTAATAAAGTTTATGGCCAAAAATATTCAGGTATATGTATTGCTTAAATCCAATGTTAAATGCAAATATGAATACTGGGAAATAGAGGGCATATTTCAAATGAAAGAACACACACACACACATGCATGTATTATTTCTTGATTCACACTTCTCCCTGTCATGTCAAAAACAAGAAGTCACTTTTCCCTAAAATTCAAGTCTAGTTCGACCCCTGAACTACTTATTAATTATATATTTTAAGAAATACGTGTATCAATAAATTATATATTTTGTGCAACTTCCAAATATTTTTCTATACCATCAGTGACTTTTGAATGTTAAATCAATATTTGATTTCTGTAAAAAGAAATATCAATCCTCATTAATAAGTAAATAGTAAATTTCCCTATCGATTTAATGTAATTATGGGTCAATGTAAGGTCATTTAAGTTTGCTAGGCCTGATACTTGGCGAGTACCCTATACCTACACCAAATGGTGTCGGCAAATTCCAAGTTTTTGATAGGGAATAGACTCTGACCCTACACCCCAACATAAAAAACCAGATATCAAAAATGGGGTGTCAAGGGTCAGAGGAAACTCGGACTAAGTAAGACGTAGCACTAAACCATAAATAACATGCGATAGTCTTACTGATTAGTACTATGACTTTGCATACTGGCTTCCTGCTTCTTTAAACCGCACTCCTTTCTTGCTTTGACAATTACATATTATTATTGTAAGCACAGGGGTTTCGTCTGGCACAAAAAAATAAACGTATGCAAGGTTATATCGAAGTATGATACGACAACATTTGAGTATGAAACTCGCTGATTCAACTGTCCATATGGTTATGTCCAGTAGTGTGCCTCAAAAAACCATGGCAGTGCATGGTTCTCGTGGATATTGCTAAGGTAATGACATCTTTAAATGTACCTGTCTCTTGTTCATTCGTCTGACATCATCCAGAAAACCGAAGTCCATCAATCCCCCCATTTTCTTTGATTTTTTTTACGGGATTAAAAACGTGTATAACCTGTCCGAACTAACCCGGAAAGCGGAAGTGGATTTGATATTGATGATTTGGCTATCCACATTCGCAACTCCTTTCCAATTTCTCTTGTTCAGAACAACACTCGGCTATTTTCGTCAACAGAAAGAAAAAAAAATTCGGAAGTTGTTGTAGGAATACACATCAATTATGATGTGTTGGACAATTCGCCTTTAGTGGATTGTACCACAAACATTCTGACAGCAGAGGCCGAAACGCCTTTATCTTATTCAGCTGCAATACTTTTCGACATGAACGAATATAGTTCAGAATATAGTTCTCAAACGCGACTAATTACATCCGAGGCTCTTTTTTTACTGGCACCAAAAGACCGATACTTTCCGATTGTATAATGCAAGACCAAATGAGTGTCATTAAGAGGCTAAGGATAGTTTTTATGCACAAATTTTACGCCGAATCCACCTGCCTAATATACAAAAATTAAATTAATAAATAAACAAGTGACATCAATAGTTTTGGATAGCTACATTAAAGCAAAGCATAAGAATATTCTTCACTTGACCTAAGAAGTTAACGGCATTTCATAAAATGTAATCATAGTTGATCATGGGTCTATGTATCTACCGCAAACCACCGAAAACCGCCACAAACCTACCGAAAACTATCTTTAAAAGGTGATATTACACTAATTTATATGTGAAAACATTTTTTACGTTAACAAAATGAGAAAATTATCATATAATAAGTGAAGATATTCTTAATGAGGCTGTTGATTTTTACACAGTCCCATTTACAGCTGTAAAATGTTGTTTCTTGCATCATACTCGTTAAAATATCCATAACGTTCATAATAAACTTACCTGTTCGAATAAATTTCACTCATTTTAATTCCGTTAATGATACAATATTGTATTCAGTCACTCAAATGGTATTAAAATTCATATACAACTATAGACAAATGATATAAGTAACTTTATTTGACAATTGAGTCCATATTTAAGTGTATTTCAGTAAATGGCGACGATATAGTAGCCTGAACATCCACGAAGCTGGGGTACTAATATTAGTAATATTTAGAAATTAGATGCACATTTTTTTCATAGTTGTTATTGTTTTTGATTCCCCCGAAAATTTGGTCGTGCTGATGATATTTAAATCACCTTTGTAAAACTTTTTTTTTTTGTTTATTCTGTTTTTGTTATTTTTACATATTATAATTTTCCCTAGCAATTCCATACTTCGCTGATATGCATAGTAAGAAGGGTTTATTTAAACACCATTTGACAACATATACACCATTTGACAACATATATTACTTCCTGTTTATTTTAACATAGGTGATGTAAATTTTAAGAATTTTTACCCAAAAAAATCTGCTCCTCTCCTTTAAATTTAGTAATGAAATTGATATCATGTGGACATATTCATTCTGCATAAAGCTTTTTGAGATCGCGATATTGGATACAATTCATCATATGATAGACAAGAGCAAATTACAACATAACAGAGTAGTACAAATTTATTTTTATTAAAAAAATGAATGGTTTTCAGTTTAGCCTTCTTATCTAGTTGGATAGTAATGTACTATAGAAATGTTCAAAGAGAGCTAAATTCTTGTATCTGCCATCTCAATCCACCATTTCAGATCATCTATCCAGGAGACACCAAAAAGTATATTTTATATTTTTATTTGATGTAAAACCCAGAGATAATATCATTAAAAAATACAGATTTGCCCTTGCTAGTAGTTACATAAGATTAGAAATATTACACACACACACACACACACACACACACACACACACACACACAAAACTCTGCTTTTCTATAAAATTATAAACAAAACAAATTAATTAAACTATTATGTTGAATTATAATGAATTAATCATTGTGAATTATTCAAGTAGGAGCTATAACAATACTGACTAACTCTCAACTGAGGAAAAATATTAATAAAACATCTTTTATATGCATATAAACACGCACTGCAGTAAACCCCCTTCTTCAAATGGTGAAGTTCAGCAATTCAAACAGCTAAAAAATCTACTTAAGGAACATATTACAGAATAAAATAACATTAGATTTAATAGTCAACGTAACTTCTACACAAGTTCATTCAAATTGCTTTGTTGCTTTTTCACTTCTCGGTCTTTTCCGTTGGCTTGGCTTTCGGTGAATGTTTTTAGCACCATTTGAAACAAACTATTTTGGTCTGTTTCAATTATTTATGTCGTGCTTTTTGTTTTTCGAATTCTTAAGGAATTACATGAAAACATCCTTTGCGTTTCTCCTCAGTTTTGCAAAGCCATGTTAGGCTATTGGCGCAAGATGTTGCATAATTTACGTGCCAACGGTAATTACCTTCACCATGTAGAGCACATCTGAATATATATGGACTGGAGGTCTACGGCTTGACATAATACCTGAACCAGCCCATGAGCATGCCGTGGCTTGCTTCCAGTGAATGTTGTTTTTTTGTTTTTGTTTTTTGTTTTTGGGGGTTTTTAGCTGGGTTTTTTTTGGGGGGGGCAGTATGTTGTTCAGTGATTCAACATTATTGTTTGTCCATAAGTCCTAGTTGAGATTTTTGTCTTCTTCGTTCATTCACATAGCGACGCGGTTTCTCTTTTACGTTACTGTTATGATATTTAATGAAGAGAAGGTGGTATCAAAAAGGTGCTTTATTTCTGAGGATTTCTCTTCAAAGACGATGGAACTGTCTACATTGACAAACTCGTCGTCGCCAAACATTTTATGTATGACTATTTTCCTAAGGTCCCCAGTCACGCCAACTTTGCTTTGGACATGGATTTTAATAGTATCTTTCATGTGCTTTGTACATAGAACCCGAGTAACGTTAGAGATGGACAATATGGTTCTTCATATGTACCAAATTACACGCATTTTTGTTGTCTTTTTTCGACACATCTGATGCTGTTCTCGAATTTAGCTTCAATATGGGACAGAAATGTTCTGTATGTCTCATAACTCCAGTCTTTGTGCAAAAGCCGAGATAAAACGAGATGTTCATCAATTTCTTTCTATAAGATACGCTGGGTTTCTTTTATACCACTGTTGTGAAATGAAGTCTTTCCAAATTAAAAGCCTGGTCAATTCCAATTGTTGAACCTTGCTTTTGTTTTTCTTTTTCAACAAAATGTTTTAAGTCTGTTATTTGGTTGTCGGTTTAGAATATATTAATTTTCCTCCATCGTGTCTTATTCGCTATACTTGAGTTGTTCCCACACATATCTATTACCTCTAACTGCTTGTCAGCAATATTTTGTACATTTTTTTGTACCGCTTTTGGGTTTTATTTACGTTTTCCTCGATGCTTTTTGTTTCTTACCTGTTCGAAGTCCCGTGGTCCATTTAAAAAGTCACCTCGTTTTGATTCGTAATAAACTTACCTAGGTTTAGAGTAGAGCAGTCTATCTGACATAAGTCCATTGTTTTGGGATCTTTTCTCACGTACAGCATAGTGTGGTTCACAGCATTGCCATGCAGACGTAATTTGGGTTGACATAGAAAAGTAACCCTTCTACTGGTACATGGCGATTTCGCTTACATGCGTATCAACACTTGATGAGATCCATGCTACTGTAATAAATTTGGAGTATGCGCCATTGATATATACCTTTCCAATTTAATAGATTTTTATGATTATTTGTTTGATTATGGGAAATCGGAGTTGGAGAAATATTCATCACCCGAGTAATTAGCGAGATTTTAGGGGCAAACGTCATAGTGAGCAATATTGATAAGATTTCGTGATGGCATGTTTTAATTACATAGTCAGCACAAGTCAGAGTCTCATAAGCGGGGACCACTCCAGTAGCCTAATGGTAAAGCGTCCGCCTCGGAAGCGGGAGGTCGTGGGTTCGATCCCAGGCCAAGTCATACCAAAGACTTTCAAAAATGGTACTAACAGTTTCCTCGCTTGGCGCTCAGTATTAAGAGGTTAGTGTTATGACTTGTTGGCCTGGTGTCAGGATAATGTGATTGGGTGGGACATCATGCTACATGAATGCGGCATGATGCCCCAATGCTAGACGTCACTGTAAACTGTCACACTGCAGACATCATAGCGATATGACTGAAAAATTGTTAGATCTACGTTAAAGATCTAAACCACATACTCACACACATAATTGGGACTTTAGCCAGATAGTTCCTATTAAAATATAACTGTGTTGGTTGATTGTGCATCAGCATGTGAAGTATTTGTGAACTGAATTGATAATTTGTACAATTGAATAATTGAGAAAGGATTGTCCCATTATCTGGAGACGACTTAAAGTGTTGTTATCATGGTAAATAAGATGTAGTTACAGGTGAAGTGAGGCTTAATGTCATTATTTGACTGGCTTTGGGTTAGGGTAGGAACAATAATTCCAGGTATTTGGTGTTTCAGTTGTGACTTGTATTGTATGGTAGTCAAGTACCGTCACTACGTTACGGAAATCCAGTAAGGAGAAACCATGCAGTTGTGTGGTTGCCGTGCAATTGGATGATTGGAATGCAATCGTGACGTTATCATATTTGTGGTCATGCTTTGATTAGAGGCAAATTATTTATAGTCCAGCTGACAAAATCAGTTGTCGATAAGTCCTTGGAAATCATGGGAAAACAAGTGACTTCTAGCAAGATGAACATCTAGGGTCGGATTCTTTCGGTAAAGAAACCCCTTTGAATTATTACAATACTTGTTGGCTGCATTCTATGTCCTCTTTCAAATTAATATATGTGGATCGTAATGATTTTGTCTTTCTTATGTTAAGGATTAGGAGGTATCCACTTAAAGTTGCCATTGATCAGTCGATTTTCCACAGAACAAGTCCTTTATTTTCAAAACGATAATTGTTTTCACAACACTCGCTTTCTTGATGACCAAAAACCATTCTTCAGAGCAAACACAAATGCACCGCATGCAGTATGCTTATCTCTGCATCTGTCTCTCTCATAAAAACTTAAAGGTTTATAACTTTGTGATCATTGCATATTATAACATCAATTGGCAATAAAATAAAGTATATGTAGTTCGATGCTCACACGAAACTGCTGTGACCATTAATGCCTCGAAAATCTGGTTTTCTGTGTGATGTGTGCGGTGGTACACCACTCCCAGCTTATCCGTTTGGTTATCGTTGTCTAGATGCGATTGCCGACGGTTCAATTTGCCATGGACTAGAAAATATTAATAGAAATTGAGAAAATGTCGGGTGGAGTAAATAAGGAACTGAGCAGTTATATAGAACAGAATAAAAATAGCCCCCGTTACAAATAAAGACTAAATTTAATAAAAATTTCTAATAATACAGTTCATAACAAAAGTAATAAAAATAAAATACGATAGAAAGATTTACTTCTTTCTTTTGACTTAGCTCCTTGCAAGAATACAAGAAACCATGATACCAATTGCCCGTCTGTTACGTGATGAATCTAAATAATAATTTATATCAAGTGGAATATATCGAAGTCATTGCCTTGTACAGTTTCGTAACCTGATAGTCTTGATTGAGTCCGGTTTCCACCGTGACTTTATCCTTTTGTCTCCCTTGCGCTGGTAAGTCCAGGTCTCCTTCACCTTTGACTTTCTTTTCTAATTTTACAGGTGCCCATACATTTTGCGCTCCTTTCAACTTTGTGTCCAATTTAGATTCGTAAGACGCAATACGTAGAGTGTAGATCGAAGAGCGTAAAACTTCGAGCTATACCGGCCATTCTAAAATTACAAAAATAAATAACCCAAATCTTCCGGCACATTATACTAGGGGAATAAATTAATACCTCCCCCCTCTCGTTAGGTCAGATAAATTCTATCCTGATTTCAAAAAGATCCTACGGCTATCTAGTCTAACTGTCACTGACAGACCGTAAACAATCTCGTTTTAAAAAATTAACGGTCAACTAAATGGCTATTCTAACACCCCTACCGAGACATAAGTTACAGACTAGTCTCAATTATACAAATGAATCAAACTCCTTGCTACTGTGTTTATAGCAAAAATCAATTGGTTATCATACGTGAACAAATGCATAGGTCGGAGAATTCATACGGATTCTAGCATTTCAACTAAAATACAGACTAAAATTCTAAATACATAATTTCCACTAATAAAAGAACTATAAGTTCAACAAGTTATCAATGTTTGTATAAAGAAAAATATCATTGACAGACTCTGATAAACGAACTTAACACATGTATATCATATAACGAAATATAATGTACGAACTTAACAAATAAATTCATGCAATTACATTGAGATAAATCGTACAAATCGTCATAGTAATATCAATGAAATGCATAAGATTATTGCAAATACTTTGTTTTTCCAAACTCTTACTTCCAGAACTTGCCTGTCAATTTTACCAGACAATTTCTTTCCCTAGATGATTTTCTACGAGCGAATGTCTTTTAAATTCAACTCGGAGTCACTCTTTGTACTTTCCTCTCGTAGGAAAAAGCGTAGACTAATTTTAAATTTTTCTTTTAGCACTTTTAAACTGAAGAGCTTTCCGAGTGAAACCACGCCCCCATCACAGCATAACCAATCGGAATGAATGACACTTCCCGTCCGAATAATGATGAAACAATGTAGTTCTTATGGCAAACCTTGATTATCTAACTTATCCCTAGTAACTTTCGAACATAACAGTTTTCCATACCGATCAGAATCTGATCCCTTCCCGGTCGGTTTTAACAAAGCGATGAATAATTTTTGCAACAGACTTTTAATTATGACTAAGACTTTATCTCATTAATATTATGAACCTTCTAGAATGTTGTTTTCCGTCAGGTAATAGTTATTTTGTTCTTGGTTTTTTTTATTCATAAATGTTAATTGTGACCTGAAGACAGGTAGAATATATATAATCTTATCATTCTTCGTGCTTTATGATCTTGGGCGAATCAATTGTATTATGTTGCGTCCAGTAATTCATTTGGGCTGGAATATATTTCTTCAAATTATTTAATTCAAGCGATTTTTCTCTGGAAATGTAAAGAGCTCTTTAAAATTAACATTCTTAGAAATAAAGATTGAATTTATACTGAAATTTCAAAAAAGAATTTTATTCTTAGATTTTATTATTGTGATCCAAGAAAAATATGGGGCACCACAGGCACATCAGCACCATCAGCCTTGGATACAGTTCGGATTTCTACTAGAGTTTTTTCAAAACTTTAACAATGAGGAGTTGTGTCTGTAATTCTGAAACGTGAGGTTTAACATATGTAATGTGAAGTGTATTTCTCTTGGTCATATCAAGTTCATCATTGGATATTTGGACGTGTTAAATTATGCGTTAGAAGAAGTTAATTCTGCACGTGGACTAAATTCGATCCACACAGGCGACTTCAAACGGTTATGAGTGATGGATGGTCTCATGATTGGTGTTATCGCTTAATTGAATTGAGAACCCTCTGCCTGGGAGATTACGTTCAGTTCTCAATCTATCGGCAACAGATTGCACTTATTTTTCCCCAAAGATTTACAGAGAGCCATTCGATAACACACATCCATCAAGTTTTTTCCTTTCGACGTAAAATCACGGTATGTATATCAGTAAAAAGGACATTGGCTTCATAACGTCAGCAGCAGGGAGGGCGAACCCTACAACTTTTTGCTCGAGTCCGTTACGAAAAATAAGGGTTCCTACAAGGCATTCAAAACAAGGTCAAATAAACCAGCGCCTCTAACTTGTCTATTTCCTTACGGTTAAGAACCGGTAATAAATCGTTTTAGTTAGCTAAGTTTTGTTACTCCTTTTGACTATTTTTTTCTTCAAATTTTTATGCGATTTCTTTTGCCTGTCGTGGTACTCAATTTTTGTCGTTCGCCCTCTATGCTGATGTGAAGTAACCAAAAATTTTATTCAGACCTATACGATACCTTGATCTTGGGTCATGTAGATTTATTGTTATAAATCCAAATGGAACAGCTTGTGCTTTTGAAAAGAAGTTTTTATATTTAATCATGCCCATCTCCCCTGAGCACAAAGTATAATAAATATTTTGTAAGGTATAATTATCATTGCCATTAAACACAACTAAAATATTGCAGTTATCTCTGATCACCTTAGGTATCTGTGTGTATCTCTGAGTAACATAAATCACGTCCGTGTTTTTATGTCTACCTCGAGAAAATATATAGCTGGATTGGATTGTTTGTCTATCATCACATCATCATATACTACAAGGTTATTAATGAATCAATATCTTGGAAGGTTTATTTATTATCTGGATTAAATGTAACATAACAAAAACAAAAGCCATTTGGATTGGAAACAAGAAATTTTCTAATGAAAAAATATGTCCAGATATGGGCCTAGTTTGGTCCTCCTAAAACTTTACACTCCTTGGCATAGATTGTTTTCCAGATTTACAAGAAATGGTGGAAATTAATTATATGAAGAAGCTAACAAAGGTAAAATGAATATTGGCCAGCTGGAGTCAAAGACATCTGTCAGTAGTTGGTAAGGTAATTGTTGTAAAAATCCTTGTACTGCCCATATTTATACATCTTTTCTCAGCACTTCCAAATCCATCAGCCAAATTTGAAGCAGAACTAAATCGCACATTAGTTAAATTTGTATGGGATGGAAAAGTAGAGAGAATTAAATGCGATATATTAGTAGCCCCAGAGAACGAGGGAGGAATCAATATGATGCATATATTCTATTTATTAGGTATATTAAAATAAGAGGGGTAAAAAGATTGCTAGAAAATTAACATGGAGCTTGGCAGAACTTAGTCAATACAATTATACTCAGAAATGAAAAGGATATTTGGAACTTAGGGAGAAGAAGATTAGAAGAATTTAGTAAGCTCATTAAAAACAGTTTTTGGATAGATGTCATTTTAGCAGTATCTTCTTGGAAAGAAGAACCGCAAAGAG